AAAAGAGAGAGATGAGACGGCTCAACGTCTGAAACACCAAGCACCCAACAATCCACTTACGGTGCTTTGAGCGGCGATGGAAAACTTCCTTGTGAGATGTATTTATTTGGATGCCTCGCCCACAGCCACGGACTAAACGAAAAAGTAAGGTGCCCCGCTGAGCCAGAAGGGCAAAGGTCCCTCTTGAGCTCTTGAGGCCACTCGATCGGAGGAGACCACAACAGAGCAGAGCACACTCAGCGACACCGCCATCGCGCCATTTCCACCAATACCATCTACATGTTTCATATTCTACACTGTATCTAGTTACAAAGTTTCGTTTTGATTGCGTCCTTGCGTGCCCTATCCTAGTCTGTTGATTACAATCTCGTGCGATCACCAGATGATAAATGAGTGGAAGTCAACTATCCGCCGTCAAGGAGTGACCACAGCAGCGCTGATGTGGCTGGGAGTGGCATCCCTTTTCGTTAGTGCAACAGATGCATCCGCCATAAGCACAGACCCCGAGTGCTGTTCATTTCACTACCGCCATTACCTTCGTCATTGGGGTGAAGTCGATGTTGCCACCTTCCAAAGAGACGATGAATGGTTGATTGAGAAGGAACATATGACCCAACAAACAGTTACTGCTTCAGTGCGGCGAGCTAGCTACCGTACGGCACAAACGAAGCTGCATCCTACAACGCAGAATTCTTTTGCTGGCGCCTAGCTAGCGCCAGTGATTAGAGACATCTTTTACAGTGATCAGCTTCCTTTTGGATTCATCTCTTCCGCGCGCTGTCATGGATGGCCGAAACTGATAAAGGTGCGGGAGGTTCCGAGATAGCGGTACAGGTACCGGTACCGGTACCCTTGAGAGAATGATATCACCTGCTTTGACTGCAGCCCCAGCTCCCTTTCCAGTTCTCGAAACTCAAGCCATGCTGATCCTTGTTCCTTGAGCTCCTGTGTGGTGATCCTTATTACGCAGTCTTTGCAACGGTTACATGCTGTACAGCAGCCAGGGCTTGTCATTCCAGATGCGCGAGTTTTTGGTTTCCTCAGTCAGAAGGCGGTAAAACCGGCCTTCGGGGTTTAGAATACCGGTACGTTTGCACAGAGACATCGGGGCTTGAAGAAGGAGGTTGAGTGCTAAGAGATCCACAGCTTTTGCAGTTCTTGGCATTCAAAATGAAAGGAACGTCTTCGCGTTGCTTCCAGCCACTGACACAACCATCCTTTTCGAGCAGGTCCAAGTTGCCCACAAGGGCCGAGCAGAGCCGAGCCCGAATGGTGGGTGGCTCGGAGGTGGGATTCCACGGAATCGAATCGAATCACATCCACAGAATGCGTGCAGGTGCCAAGAGACGCCCAAGTTGGGAAGTACAAAATTTTTGGGCCAAATTGACCGTGGAAGACATGCACGAACCTTTCGGCCTTGTGGTACCTGGTTCCTGATACTAATTTGTCTTTATGGCTCTGCTAACTTACTCGTGCTTCCAACTAACGGCCAGGTTATCGAGTTGGATGCCGACGCAACCTCATTATTTCTTGGGTCAGCACTCCAGCACACCTCTTCATGTTGCGTTTCTCAGCTTTTACATTTGGGAAACAATGGACGATCAACCCAACTCATCGGTAAGACTCCATGCTAGCATGGGCGGAAATGACAGTATCGAAACAGAAGAAGATAAGGAGGATCAAGGGGAAGAAGCTGTCCTCCCATCTTCCGACGCACCAATGAATGCGAAGACTACTGAAGAAAAGGATCCAACGTGCGGGGATATCGTAACTCTGGATCACAAAAATGACATGCCATTGGATGCTAAGGATGATACTGAGGCGATGCCCATAAAAAAGAAAGCAACTTCGGCCACGTTCAACACCACAGAATCATCATTGCCAGACACTACGACAACCACCGCTGCTACTACTACCCAAACCAGCCCCCGAAAAGCTCAATTCCATGCCTTTCTACGATCCCTGCTGGAAGTGGACCAAACCCAGATTGCCTTGATTCCTGGAATGAGAACAGCCATTATTATCATGACCGATTGGATCATTTTTGGAATTGGGAATGCCAATACCACCGCCTTTCAGCTGGGATGTCTCTACGTGGGTTTGACGGATGCCAATGGATCCTTGACCAATCGATTGCATTCCATGGGATTGACATTGATCACAGTGGTGGTCATGGGAGCCTTGATTCCTTCCCTCACGTACACATCCATACCGGGGACTCTGATTGCGGCCTTTGGTGTGGCATTTTTGACGGGTTGTGCTCCCATTTTTGGTAACGCCGCGTTTATTCTCTCCATGAAATTGGGTGCCGCCCTCTTTGCCATTCAAGGATCCGTTCATCGCAATACCGATGGCTATGGGGGGATATCCAATGCCTTGTTGTGGACCTTTTTTGGAGGATCTTGCTCCTTGCTGGCAGCCCTCTTGCCCGAACTGGTGGGCAATCGTGATGCCATTCGAACGTCCTTGTTCAAAGTCTGGCATGGCTTTGGTTCCAATCTAGCACAGTGGAAAGCACAATGGGGAACCTTTGGGCACACGGGTCATGCCGCTCGCTTGCCCAATGTGACATTGTCGTTCTCCAGCACGCTGGATTTTATACAACAAGACACGACGGAGGACCCAAACGCCAAAGCATGGCTGCTCCAAATTATGGAACATGTGGATGCCATACGAACTGCATCCTTGTGTTTGTCCAATGGATATGAAATGGTACGACAAGAACGGCAGCAAAAACAACAATTAGCGCTAGAACTATCGCCAGCAACCCATGATGATAACAACACTCCAGCATCACAGAAAACAACAACAACATCCCAAAGTGAACAACAGCAGCAATGGGAAGAAGAGGACAGCCTCGTCGACACTTATTTTCATATTCTGGCCAGAGTGATTCAAGATTTGGGACTGGCCTTTCAGTTCCCGTGGTCGGTCCGATATGTTCCTTGTATCAGGAAACGAGTCATATCGAGAAAAGAGGAGCTGGACCGAGCAGCCGCTGCTTTCAGTAATCATCGAGCTGGTAGTGAAGGGGCATCGTCCAGCCTTGCCAAGAAATGGGTGCATCCCTTGTTGACATTTCTGCAGGCACAGGTGGATGCTTCCGTCCAAATTGCACTCGATACCAATAAGCAGTGGCCTCCCCATTCGTCCGTGTTTACGTTGCCAAAACGAATCTGCGCGGTGTTTCAGCTCCCCAAACTGGTGGACGACAAGGATTGGGCCATTCGAGGATATGCCATCCGTTTCGCCGTGGCATTTACATTGGCAACCTTGCCAGAAGTACTGGCACCGCGAGGAACATCAGGACATTGGTTCCCAATGACGGTAGCCTTGATCATGGGACCCACGCAGGGGGCAACATACGAAAAGGTGGCACATCGAACATTGGGGACACTGTGTGGAATTGGACTGGGTGCTGCTATATCTCCATTGTTTGCACATCCGCAAGCACTCATTCTACTCCTGGGGCTCAATACCTACGCAGTCTGCATCTTTTTGCCAGCGAACTATGCCATGTTTACCTTTTTTGTAACAAGTTGGGTATTTTGTACTACTGTGGGTGTGGGGGCATCCATGGGTGTGACTATCTTTTATCGGTGCATGTGGACTTTGTCAGCCGCGGCTCTCGTGTTGGCTGTGTCATATACCTATCCAGCCAAAACAGAGTTCCAGCTGACAGAAAAGCTCGCTGCATTTGCCCAGGCTATCCTTGTCTTTGCCCAAGCTGTTGTCGAGGAGCATCGTCTCCTGGAGCTTGCGCGAAATGGAACCGATGATAGCCTTCCTGCATTGTTGGAACAGGCCACACAAAAAGCCCAGGAAGCTAAAAAGGTTGCAACCCAGACTCGCCTGGATTTGCTTACGGATGTGCACAATGCTGTACTCTGCCCTTCTGAAGGGTACCGGATTGATCCCCATTCTGTGGCACCCCGCCTGGCATCTGATCTTGTTGATGCCATAGTGATTCCCTTGTTCCTGTTCCTAGTGAAGGATGATAATTGTGACAGCCTTGTTTCAGATTTGAACGACTTTCAAGAATTGGAGAGGCTGGTTCAAAGGCTGGAGGCACACGCAGCATTGCCACCGGGGAAACCTACTCGGGCAGGACAGCGGCATGAGTCATCAACACTGATCACCGGCGGAGAAGGCCCGTTTTCAAAGGCAGTCGCCACTGCTCACCAAAGGCTTGACGAGGCCGGTGTGCCCAAGAGACCAACATTGCCTGCTCCCAAAAGTGACGTTTAGGGACAATTTTTATGCAGCAGGCTTGTGGTGAGCCTGCCTTTGCCTCAAGTGAACCTCCCACTGGAACAGTGAACACGAATATTAAAACAGTGCGCTGAGGTGGAGGCCGCATAGACAGATGACATAGATGTCGAGGAAGTACTTAAATTACTCGAGTCTCGAGTAGCTGATCATCGGGGATAAGACAAACCTAGTCTACAGTACAACTAGTAGAACCTTGAATCAACCAGCAAAAAGACTGCGTAGACTGTTGCCCACTTGTTCTCCGCGGCCTTGGAAGCCTGAACCTGGTGAACCTGTACTTGTACACTTGTACCGGTAATGTTCTGTTCTCCATCAAGGCGGGGAGGCTGCTTTCTCATCAGTGACGTCCTGAGAGCCCAAACAAACGGTTTTGCAGAGGGCTCATTTTTTGTTTGTATGTACCGGTAGTACCTGTAGCTCCTGTATCCGGCTGTCCCGCAGCTAAGCCAACAGAGACAAGAATCCCATGGAGAAGAAGGAGAAGGAGGGCGGATCCATCATAACTAATAAGAAGTGAACTTGAACTCACCTGTTCTCTGTTGTTGGTTGTCACTTACTTTGTCACTGAACTGGGGTATCCTGAGCTTATCATGTTGCATTGTTGCGGTATTGGACGTGTTGGGGGCCACCTATCATAAGACGTAAGAGAGAGCGCTCTTGAATTAATTGTCCCGGTATGTGGTTGCCGCTCTGCAGGGTGATATTGATATTGGGGCATAGATCTTCCAATCAGAATAGGCCGAAGGCGACATATAAAATGAATTAACATGCTACTTTCGCTGTTGCAAGATTCAGCTTCAATGAACATCTGATGTTCATTGAAGCTGAAACTAGCTACAGTAGTAGACAGAATCAGAAGAGTGAGTGGCAAATTGGCAATGGTACATCGTAGTTAATGGTTTAAATTGGTTTCGGAACAATTGGTGTAGTTTTACATGTAACACGTACAGTTAATGTATGTATACATAGTTTTTTGAAAATGGAGTATGATTCGACAGGCAAATTAGAGCAAAAAATGTCACAATGACATTGTTACAATAATGATGCTTCAACCGAAGCATCACGACCAACTTTTTACCTCAGACGCAACCGTTATTTCATGTGTTGAGCCATGACTCTTGTGTTCTTGTAAGCCAAGTGCAACTGTCTTGTAGAAAGCACGTGAAAGGACCCGCTTCTTTTCCCTTTTTCTTACCTCGTAAATTCAGCCTGCAAGAAAAAATAAATGTACTAGTACATGACATACATTGTATGACATTGTAGTCTAGAGTATGTGAGCTGTATGTATGTGTCATCAGAGCTGCTACTGGAAGTACATGACATCATGACATTGTACTTGTGGTTGAGGTTACCAGTAGCTGACAACGACAGGTTTGCAGGCGATAGGCGATGATTATCTGCCAGTGGTACGGTAGCTTGGGAGGTGGAGCTGTGCGCTGTTGAGATGCAAAATTGAATATTAGTATGTCTAAAAGATATTGAGTACTCGAGTACGCTGTACATGTATTTACTAGATCTACCTTTATGCTACAGTAGTTTTCTATGTGATGACTTGGAGATGATTTATTTGGCTGTTGTTCTAGCCTCTTGATGACAGGCAACGGCTTTTTAGAAGAGTTGCTTCACATTCTTGGGTCAAATTTCTCCACAGGTCCTGCAGATAGACACCTGCGTGCGTCAGACTTCAGACAGAGGCCAAACAGCGATGGTGAAAGTCCTGGTGCTGAGTTCAAGTATGAAGTTCTTTTCGTTAATGTTACTGCGTCTCCTGTGCTGTCTCCAATCAAGGCAACATTGTTGAAGTTAGACCAGCAACCCTATCTCCTTCACGCCACCCCTGCTGTTGTTCCGGTGAAGAGCTCGGTGCAGTGTCAAGGTGTTCAAGCGTTCAAGACAGCAAGCCAAGATGATGGTTGTGCAGCTGTTGTGCTGTTGTGCTAGTAGCTAGACTACCACCACCATGGTTGCCAGTTGCCAGAGCTCCAGAGCTAGCGGCTTGTGAATGCCTTCGGTTCCTGTAGCTTCCAAGAGATCTATTCGGCAGAAAGCAAAGTCCCACTATCTAGCCACTGGTCAGTACGAAATGTCAAGCGGGGCATAAGGAAGCTGAGTCTAGCTAGTACTAGCTAGTAAAGAAAGGATAATCTGAGTACTATAATACTATAATAAGTACCGTACATCGTACATGGAGTGCTAGAATTATTGTCAAGAGGGCAAGAGGGTCCAACATCCTCCATGCTATGTTGCCACGATGTATGTTATCAAGAGACGTGAAAATTCAAGGTGTCTTGCCCTTCAACCATCATGTCTGAAGCGTCTTTTGATAATTAACATCTCAAGATTAACTGCAAATGAAGAGTTAATCGATTCCCTCGTGTTCCTTGTTCACCAAGATGTCCTAGAAGTTCACGCAACTCTCTTGCGAGCTCCAGTTGACTCAACACGGGTTACGGGTTGGGAGTTGGGAGTCGAAAAACCTAGCAGCTCAACAGCTCAACCAGCAGACCTTTTTGCCGCAAAACCACGAATACTTCCGGTACCGAACTAGACCACGGTCGGCGCAAAAGCAACCACAGCAAACTTCTCTGCATGCTGGCTAGCTACCGTAGTACATGTAGTGGATGCTGTCTAGTGGTTCTGTAGCGGCATCCGATTCGTATTGTTACGGGTGTGCTTGTGCTGTGGTTGTTCCCTTACCATCTTCAAGCAAGGCACCTAAGATCGTGTTTCCTTTCGTTTAGGAAGGAGTTGCCTCAAAGGTTTGTTTGAGACCACAACATCTCAGCAAGAGCCTATGAGAAGAAACAAACTCACGAGTCCTCTATCTCCCAAAAGGCTGTGTCTTTGAGATTGTCAATACTCTCTTCAACCTTGCTCTATTCAAAGAAATTGTCTGTGTACCAAATAATCCTGTTTGTTGCTGCACAATACAAGCATCCATAGATCCATCGGCCTCCACCTTGGAAACACCTGATCATCCCTTAGCACTGACGGTAGTAGCACCGCAACAATCGTCTCTTCGAAGTCTCCCCTGTCCGCACAGTTGGATACCCTTCAGAGTTTCGGCGCCGCTTCTCTCTCATCAGGTAAGAAAGACATGTGTTTGTCCATGTAGGAACGTTTTGTTAGCCTGAGTTCTAGCTAGCTAGCTAGCAGGAGGTATTGGCTGTGGTCACAGGAGGAAGGGATATTTGACCGCAGCGTCGCTTGGTTCTGAAGCTCACACTTGTGCTGCTCGTTTCCTTTATCTGGTTGTCGTAGTACTACTACCTACTACCTAGCCATCTACATTCTTTATTATCTGCTGGACCATGGCGTCTGAAGACGAACAAAGCAGCGCAACAAGCACCAATGCTACCACTCCCACAAGATGGACACTGCCATTAAACATGATGAACGACATTCCAGCCGTCATGTACCAATGGCAAGTCGATCCCAAGACGGGGGAGTCGACATTTCTCTATGTCAGTGATTACTGCTGGGAACTCATGGGGGTATCTCCACAAGAAGCCATGAACGACGCAAGCTCCATTGTCAACCTGATACACGACGATGATGTATCCATGTTCTCGGCGGCACTGATCCAGTCCATGCATGACCTTACAGTATTGCGAACACAAGTACGAATGAGACGGCGAACGGGTGGTCAAGTCGTTCCCGTGCAATTCCAAGGACGGCCACAACGGCATGAGGGCGGGGTGATTGTTTGGGATGGCGTTGCCATGGAGGTGGCAACCACCGTGCCACAACAACCTCCGCAGCAGGCCCTCGCAGTAGTACAAGAAGCCCAACTTCAGTCGGATGCAGCCATACAATTGGTACAAGCCGAACGCGGCCTGACAGAATGGCTGCATCACGAAATCAAGAATCCACTCTCCGTCACCATGGAAGCACTGCAGACACTCCAAGAACTGTTTCCTCACGAGGAGCAGCACCAAGTTGGCGCCGCCAAACATGACGATGATAATGCCGATGATGGGTACAGTGCTGCCGAGTGCCATCAAGTCATGACCGAATCCATCACTTACGTGGTGGATTTGCTCAACAACATGATGGACCTCGATCAGTGTGCGCAGGGGCAAATGCCCGTTGTCAACACACCGTGCAACGTGCAGAATGATATTCTGTTGCCCACGTATCGCATGATGAGGCGGTTACGGCCCAAGAATCCTGTCAAACTACGACTATCGCCATCCTTGAGGATCCTTGGCGAGACCGCCCTTCATCACGCAAGCATGAGCTTTCTGGACTTGGAAGACGCCAGCGAGCACGAGAGTGAATGCAGCACGATGCATTCTTCTGCCAGTTCTGCTGGGTTGGATGATACTATTGTGGCCAATGTGGACAAGCTCCGACTGCGACAAATCCTGACGAATCTGATTGCCAACGCATTTCATTTCACTAGCCAAGGCTTTGTGGAAGTGGATTTGCAAGTGCAGGATTCGGTGTTTGCATTTCATGTCCGAGACAGTGGGTGTGGTGTGGATTCGGGTGACATTGATACGCTGTTTACACGATGGGAACAGCTGGGTACGTCCCGTAATGGAACGGGCATTGGGTTATGCCTGTGTCAGGCTCTCCTCAAGGCCATGGGGGGCAACATTCGTTTGAACGCCGACTATCACAGCGGGATTGCTGGGCATCCGGGGGCTGAGTTCATTGTAGAAGTGCCGATTCATACAGCTTCCGTGGCATCTCCAACAACACCAGCAGCCCAACAGAAACGAGCATCATCCACAATGCAACGAACCCCTCCAAGTTCTTCGCTGACATCAGCCATATTGGCATCATCACAATCGACATTGGAAATGGACGAGACCCAGCGTTCCAAAGTGAAACCCACCCTGGCGACCACAGGTCCTCCTCCGTCCACCCAAACGGCATCGCCCGAGTACAATCTGTTTGGTATGTGTCAATCGTTGCAAGGGATCTCTTCCGATTCCATCCACTCTAGACGATCTTCCCATTCCACAATCTTGTCTTCTTCGATTTCATCATTCGCCACGGCAAACACTGCCTTGACTGCCGTAACCATGTCGACGTCTTCCACAGTGGGCGTGTCAAACATGTCAGTGGCAAAATCGCCTGTCCGCAAGTCACCGATCCAGAAGAAGAGCTACTATCGGGGTCAGTACAGGTTTCTGATTGTTGACGACGAAAAGATGGGACGCAAGTTCCTGAAGCGACGTTTCTCCCGCCTTTTCCCGGGAGCTACAGTCACGGAAGTTGCTAGCGGGGAAGAGGCATTGGTAGAAGCATCAAAACACCAGTACGATGTCATCACGATGGACCATTTCATGGCCATAAACGAGATGAATGGCGATGAAACCATCAGAAAGCTTCGGTGTCGACTGCACAGCGATGCATTGATCATGGGCATCTCGGGTAATGACAAGCAAGTGGAGCACCTTCACGCCGGGGCTGATTTGTTCTTTCTAAAGCCCTTGCCCAGTGACACCACTCTCATTGAATCCCTGCAGAACAAGTTGGCGCCTCCGGCGGGTTGGAAGGTCCTGATCTTGTCGCCAGATGCGAGTGTTTCTAGCTTGCTCACAGAACAACTGCACCGTGTCGCGTCTCCGCATTTCACGACAAAGGAGGTTTCAGAAAAGGTACCCCCGACTCGTGTGGAGCATGATTTGGCTGCTCTGCCGTGAAGACTCACTGATCATCAAACGTTTCCATCTCTTCCTTTTCGCACAACAGCGATGGACGATAGTTTCACGTTCCAGCTATCTCGTCGACGATGCAGAAGACTTCGACATGGTCGTGGTGGTAGAATCCGGCAACTCGGATGATGCCTTGAGCTCAGAAGCGCGAAAGCAGTTGCGGTAAGTAGAGATACAGCTTCGACAGTTCGTGTCCGTCATTACAAAGTTTTCGGCGCTTACAGATTCTGTGTCCTTGCCAACCTGGTGCACGCAGTGGCGTTGAACAATGCGACAAACTCGTGGTCGTTGAGTGCTTGACTTCCGACGAGAAAAAGCGCGACAGCAAGATTGTATGCGACACAAGGGGCGACACAAAGCCAGCTGGGCCTGTATGGTACTTGTCGAACTTGCCGTCAGTCGAAGGGATGCGCCAGTCATTGAGCCAGTCCCTGCTTGCCATCCGCAGCACGCCAGATAGAACAAAGAACTCATCAGAGTCGGGTTTGCCAGTGCTTGCAACAGGTCTCCCACCCAAACGACAAAACTCGGGTGTGGCGAAATCAGCATGACGCCACCAGACGCACTCATAGTTTATATTAGAAGGCACGCTACTAAACCTTCTCAAAGCATTTCTAAGAGTCCATCCTGATACCCTTGCTCGTCTCGTCGCTGCTAGAAATCGTAATGTTTTCTGGATGACTCAAAAGATGATGCACGTTTCCTTGGAAACCCCACCTCAAAAAGTCGAGCTGTTGCCTGTGCTTTGAAAAGAAGGGGCCCACTCCTTTGGGAGAGTGGATGAATCTTGTCCCTGTCTTGCTGGCTGGGTTTCCCTGGAGACAGTGCTGCCTGTGCTTTCAGCCACTGGACAAGCCTTTCCACTTCTTGCAAGGCATCCATGTCCGACAAGAGGGCATCCCAGCCAGCTGTCAACCCTCACCAGAAACAGAATCATGGGAACCACCGTCACACTCATTAGATCAGATGTCACAGGGGGAGCCTTGGTACCCTTCAGAAGGACAAATCACCGCATCGTGCACATGGATGAACAATTCTAGGCACTTCTGGGTTGCATGCCTTCGAGCCTTGTGGGCTTGTTTTGTATCGTACTCATCTCCAGAAGCTGGCAGAACATGGCTCGAACCTACCGGTACAAGACAGACACGCCAATCGAAGTCCAACCAAGATTGGGAACTTGGATGTTGTGACGAAAAGCGTGTTGCCGCCAAATCCTAAAAGTGAGATAATAGATGAAACCGTTTCATGATGTATTCCTTTCAAAGCTGTTACACAATCTAATAACTCTGGTTACCTGCCATCAAGCATAGGAACAGGCACAATCACAACCACACAGCCTTGAGGTACAATCAAAACCAAGAAAGCAGGGCCTGATTTCCCACTCAGGGCCATAGTATGTACAAGATGCATCCTGCAAAAAGCATAACTTATCCGGTATAGAGCCAGACAAGCCAAAGTTGCCTGATACATTCAGAAAACCCAAGGCACTCAGGTCCTGGAGCTCATAGGGAAGTTTGCCAGTCAACTGATTTCCATCCAAGTGCAACTCAGTTACACTTTCCAGTTCTCCAAACATGGAAGGAATTTGGCCAACCAACTGGTTTCCATCCAATCGCAACTGCACCAACTCAGCAAGTTTCCCTAGATCAGAAGGTATCTGGCCAGTCAACTCATTGTCGTGCAACTGCAAACATTTCAAAGCTGCCAGCTGTCCGAGTTCTGATGGGATTTGGTGGGACAGCTGATTCTCACCCAACTTCAATTCTCTTAAACGAGTCAGTTGTCCAAGCTCAGTAGTGATGTTGCCCGAAATAAGATTTCTATGCAACCAACACCATTTCAAACCAGTCAACTGTCCAAGCTCTGATGTCATTTTCCCACTCACTTGATTCTCATGTAACTCCAAGACTTTCAATGCAAAAAGCTGTCCAAGCTCTGAAGGAATTGGCCCAGTCAGCATATTTTCACCAACTTCCAAGTATTTCAAAGAAATCAGACTCCCAAGCTCAGATGGAAGTTCACTTGTCAACTCATTCCTATCAAGCTGTAATGACCACAAACCAGTCAGAGATTCAAGCTCTGTAGGAATCAGGCCAGTGAACTGGTTGCCATTCAAGGACAACTCCCCCAGAGCAGTCAGGTGTCCAAGCTTGGAAGAGATTGGGCCTGTCAAGTGATTCCCACCCAAATCTAATCGTTTCAAAGCAGTCAACACTTCCAGTCCACAGGGGATTTGGCCAGTGAACTGATTCTTATTCAACTCCAAGAATTCCAAAGCAGCCAACTGTCCAAGTAATGAAGGAAGTTGGCCGGTCAATTCATTCTTTCCAAGTGCCAAATAGGTCAAGGCAGTCATCTTGTAGAACAGTTTTGGCAACAGGGATGAAACTGGGATACCAATCTGATTCAGACCCAACCGAAGTTGCACCAAGGAGGTTAGCATGATAATCTCATTTGGAACAAATGGCAAATGATCAGATAGCTGCAGCTCTTCAATGTAAAGAGAAGTAAATTGTTCCTGGGAGTTGCAGGGCCCCACTTGATCCGGCCATTCCACATAACTCCCATCTGAATTAAAGAAGCCAAATCCACTGGAGAACCAATCACACTCCTCCTTTGCATCATCCATCCACCTCTCTTGAACATATGTTGGCCACCCTTCTCCTTCAAATGCATAGAAAAATGTGGCTAGAGGAAACAACTGCTCCTTCCTCCACTCTGACAGCTTGGAAACGTTTTCATGATTGGCCAACCATTGCCATGCTTTCCACTGAGGAGTTTTGCTGCCATTGTTGATGCTAGCCACTGAGTAATTGGGCAAACCATGCAGTAGCAAGTCCAGAACTCCAGTTGGGGAAGATGATGGTACCCCAGAAGGTTCCATGGATCTATAGATAGTAGGTGTAGCTGTTGGGGAATTGACCGATACCAACAGTGCTTTTTGTTTCTGGGTTCCGATGACTGTGCCAACAGCAATAGCTCCCCCAATGAGCAGTATCAGCATGAGCAGAATAAGCAACTCTCTCAGCCTCTTCTTCTTCTGCTCTCTCTGCCGAAGCTGATCTACAAATGGGGTGGCCGATTGTCTGACTTGTTCCACCGACTCTTCAGCAACCAAGTTTGCCACAGCCAGCTCATTGTCTGCATCAGCAGAGGGTTGAGGTGGGGTTGGATTATGCACTTGGCCAACGTCTGGTTGCGTGGGTGTCAAAAATGTGGCAGCAGAAGGAGGATGGTCAACGGCAGCTCTCAGTAGGTCATAGTTGAGACACTGTACGTGCTGCAAGGATTCTCCAGGAGTATTCCTGTATGCTCCAGGCTGGGGTGGCGGTTGGGTTGCCAATAAACGGTTGCAGGTCGCAGTGGCTTCCCCAGGTTGCTGCATTTGATGGAGATCTTGCATTCTGCTGCTGGCTGTTTCTCCCATGATTGGAATAGTCTCACTGGGTTGTTGAACAGCTGATTTCTTGCGAAAAAATGAAAGATGGCCACTGCATTCATGAGTGCCATCGAGCCTAGCTGCCGCAGCAGAAAGAGCTGAAAATGTAGAATCAATGACGTTCTCTTTCGCATTGTGATTTGATTGCACTTTTGCGTCTTCTGTTTGGTTTTCTGCCAATAGTCCTTTCGATTGTGCATGAATTTCTTTGGGAAAGAAGGATAGTTGACCACTGCCTCGGGTGTCATCAAACCTGGCGGCCATGCCAGTAAGGGCAGTCAAAGCAGAATCAGCGTGGCTTCCATCACAACTGTTTCCGGCGTTCTCTGTTCGTGTCCATTGGGAAGACTTAGCTTCAGCTTTTTTGCTGCCCAAGGCCACATTGTTGGTGACGCTAGTAGGGCCTCTGGCGGTTTGTTTGGCAGGCTTGCCTTCCTCGGATTCTTCCGGTCTGCGCATTGAAGCAACGCCGGTACCAATTCTATTCGTTGCACCAGAAAGTTTCATGGTGCTACCGGTACCTGTATCCGTAGTAGCACTAGCGCCAAAATTGCTCTTGGAGGTTTCTTGAGCTGCTTTTTCGTTGGGTAGACCCATTTCCAATGCTGTCTCGGTAATAGGAGTCATGCCAAGATTCTCCAATGCAGCTTTGTTGGTTGTCGTGCAGACGTCGTTGTGCACCTTCTCTTTGGTTTCGTCGTTCATGGTCAAGGCGTGCAGACGTCGTTGTGCACCTTCTCTTTGGTTTCGTCGTTCATGGTCAAGGCTGTGGATGTAGGGTGGCTCTGGATCCTGAAATGGTCGGGTTCTCAACCCCTCATTGTTTACTCTTTGTTTGCTGAACGAGTGCATGCCTGGTGCTGTGGGAACCTGAACGTGCACTAGAAAGTAATTAGAATCCCCCGAAAAACGAATGTTTCTGCAGCTTTGCTGAGATGCTACACCGTAGCGGTACTAGTACCTGATACCAGGTATCGGTGTCATTGTTGTGTTGGTTGTGCGGTTAATGCTCGGCTCAGCCTAGCTATTCTTCGGGCCCGCCACCTCTGCATGCGTGGCTCTCGTGTCCCTGCTGGCACAATGAGCTACCGTCGTTCTCTCTGGGATGCCGATGTGCACTTGCACTCTTCCGCTAATTTTGCTCCCTTGTCCTTCTGGTTTTCCTCCATGCACCCCCCTTCCCTGCCCCCCTTGTTTTGCCCTGCTCGCGTCCCTCATTGCTCTCCCCGTATGCCCCCCACACCACCACCACCCAGCCACTGCTTTGCCTAGCCTCGCCCCCCTCGCTCCTTAACGTATCTATTTAGTATTTATTTGCATGCATCCTCCGACCTCCGATCATCGAAGAAGTGATGAATAGGGCCAGTGCCCATGCATGTGAGGATAGACTTGGAGAATGGAAGCCAAAGCACAGACTTGGAAAGAAAGGTGCATTCAGGAGTTTGATCTCAGGCCTCTTCCTCTCTCGTGGAACGAAAAAGTTGTGGAACAAACGGAGGAAGCATCGGAACGATACTACCTGCTCCGTAAGAAAGGGTTCGCTCGCAAGGCAGAAGTGGAAGACCGAGAAGAAAGCGACCTCGACGACAGTGATGATGAGGGGACACTGGAGGGCCTCCTGGAGGGCCTCCTGGAGGAATTGAGAGACAAGCTGGAAGATATGTCCACCAATATCTTTGGCGAGGACGCTCCATGGAAATGGCAAACAAGCCTATCCGCAAAGGACCTGACATGGGATGCGTACTCTTCTAGCGATAGGCTGATGACGGGCACTTTCCAAGGTCTTGTTTGGTCTCCTTATGCCATCCCACGTGCTGTTTCTCTGGAACACTATTATTACCGGCGCCCTTCCATGCGCACAATGAGTTTCAGAGTAGAGTGGTCATACAAGCTACTGAACTTTGAAGCTGATGGCGTTATGCAGCTGTTTGAGGCTGAAAGGAAATGGACGGTGATCTGTGCCAATGGCTATGACAACGAAAGATTGCGTCTGGATTGCATTGTTGACCGAAACCTAACAAGGGCAACCATCCGACTTCTCAAAAGCTTTTTGTGCGGGGCAAAGTCAAACAAGACAGACCTGTTCTTCAAGGATGCGATTTGCAGTGATTTCGACTTCATTTTACTTGTCTTTGCCTCCATGGGAACTATCGACTTCGAGTCGATCAAATGCATTTGGATGGGGTATCAATGGCCCCCGTCGAGCAGAAATCAGGATGATTTGTGTAACAAAATGATAAAGGAGAAGGCCATCGAGACGAAGGAGGAATTTGAGAATCTCGAATGTGTTTCCTGGCTTGAGTACAGGATCCGAAAGATCACAAAGAATCTTCGACCCACCGACAAGTTCTATCACGACCCTACCAATGAGGACGCTCCTGGTTATGATCCTGAGTTAGATTTTTCGGACGAGACGAGGAAACAGCTGATGGATCAGGAAGAAAAGAGACTAATTGATCAGTTGATGGTGTCGAGGGAGTTTTCGAGCGAAGACGAAGAAAAAGATGCAAGAGCCAAACTTGAGGAGTATTTTTCCACTTGTGACCAATTGTCCCAAAAGGTGAGATTCGCGTCCATTCTTCGTGATACATTTGCGCCGGGTACCAAGAGACGTGCGGCCGAGCAAATGTCGTCGAGCAACAAGCATGCCAAAAGGTCTGAGGATGTGAGCTCAAAACGCACCTGAGATGCATGACCAGCGCGTCCGGTCTCTGGCTGCATCCGTACTAGGTACATGTACGATGTACGGTATACGTACGATGCAGTCGTATCGGTATGATCGGTACCATGGTACGTGGTAGCTGTAATAATGACGGCAATCCGTGGTACCCTACTGTCACGTATTGACGGCACTCCGTGGGTAAATTTATTTAAATTGGTCAGCTGGCAGTGTCGACGTGTCGACAGACTTTCGTGCCACGTCGGGAGGTGCGTCGCCACTGTTTTGCCAACACGCACAGGCACCAATCAGTTTTTTCCTTGTTCCAAATGCCATACTAGTAGTACTAGTAGTCTAGCAGTTCTGGTAGCTTGCCCGTCTACTACAGGTAGTCTAGTATAAGGAAGCATGCGTCGAAGGTCCGAGGATGCTATAACCAATGGGGCAGGTGGGTCATCTCCATTTCCCTTGTCCACCTTGTCCGAAGGAGGAAGCGCGAGTGCTCCCTTGGTGGCGCCACCGGGGAATCGTCAAGAGAGCTTGCGACGGAGCAGTCTGCAGGATGAATTTCTTGATTTCGTGCAGACTACCAAAGCCAGCACGGCGTTGCATCAGCGCTTGTCAGACAATGAGAATGTGAAGCAGTTTACGATGAACAAGCTGCGGTTTGATCGATTAGAAGAGAGCGTGATACCCGTGGGACGAGATGGGGAATACGAAGTGCTCAGGGAACGACTGCAAGAAGTTTGGGATCAAAAGGTGCAGCGGGAATTGGTGTTACTCAGTGGGTACTCGGGCAGTGGCAAGACCACGCTCGCAGCTTCTATACAGCCATTGGTGGAGAGAAAGAGCAATAAGGGTGGATTGTTTGTCTTGTCCAAATTCGATTATCTCGATCTATCGGGAGGTGGCTGCTCATCTTCTGTCTCTTCAGGGGAAGGTAGTGCTGGTGGTGATAAGAACAATGCAGATCCCTTTGCCGCTGTCTCCAATGCCTTTGGCAGAATTTGCAGAGATATCCAGCGGAGAAAAAATAATACCGCCACAAACACAGCAATCCAGGAATTGACTTCCGAGAGTGATACCCAAGAAGAAATTGACCATCCAATGGCATCCCTTTGCAAAGAATTATCTCAAGTCCTGACCAGCACAGATATCACGTTTCTGGAAGATATCATGCCAGAAATTGAGTTATTAGTTTCTCCGCAATCCAGCAACAATCACCACGAAAGCAGAGCCTCCATCTTCCACGAAAGCAGAGCCTCCATCTTTCACGAAAGCATTGCCACCATCAGTCATGTGTCAGATGACAGCATGAGCCATGGCGGCGAGGCTTCGAATCAAACATCAAAGTCCCGTCGTTCGACAAACGGTGGAGATACCCGGGCCATTTTGTACCTGGCGGTCCGGAAATTCCTCCGTGTTGTCACCAAGCATTTGATGCTTTGCATTGTCTGGGATGACCTGCAATGGGCCGACACGGTTTCCTTGGAACTGCTGCAGTCCATTTTGTCCGATTCAAAGATTGAAAATCTTGTCATTATTGCCTTATTTCGCTCCAATGAAGTCAAAGAGCACCATCCGTGGGCCAAGACTATGGAAATCTGTCGACAGCATGCCAAACGAGGAAACGACATTGGCGGGTTGCACATCACGGACATGCCAATTGGGAATCTCAACGCGGCGTCGGTCAACAGCATTGTAATGGTATTGTTGAATGTGGACGATGTCGCTACTACCATGGATCTGGCGGAAACGTGTCATGCCCGGACACAAGGAAATGTCTACTTCTTGTTGACCTTTCTCGAGATGCTCCATGACGAGGGACTCCTCATGTTTCATTTGGGGACGTTCCAATGGACATGGGATAGCCGGGAGATTCTCGAAAAGACCGTGGCTACCGCTAATACGGTCAGTCTGCTCATGGACAAGATCACCAAATCATCCGGAGGCAATGAAATGACGCGTATGCTGCCCATTGCCGCCTTGCTGGGGAGTTGCTTTGAAGCAAGAATGCTACGATTGGTGTGGGAAGAGCTACGGCCACGGGGAAAAAAGACAATGTCGTCGTCAAGTCAGCAACAAACGGAGGCAGCAGACAACAGTGAGAACAACGCTTCCAGCGATGATTCCTTTGTGGGCCTGTTGGAAATGACCGTCGAAGAAAAGTTTTTGGAACGAGTTGACACATCTACACCGACAATGGGCTCACTCCGATTTTGTCACGACGAGATTCAAAAAGCCTCCTTGAATCTAGTCTCGGGTGCCAAACTTGAAAAGCTCAAGGTTTGTGTGGGGGCTGTACTTCTGCACAAATTGAGACGCCAGGAGCTGGAAGAATCCATCTTTGTTGTCACCAATCTACTGAACAGCAAGTTTGCGAAAGGTGTCATGGATCGACTGGACAAAAAACTGCCATCTCGTCGACGCTCGGAACTGACAGAACGGTCCTATCATACGACAAGTTCTGTAGGTCACTACTCTGTGGGGAATACGGCACTTTTTCTGCAGCGCCTTGTCAAGGAGGGGCCTATGATGGATATGGGCAACTCTGACCAGGACCATACGGAGGATCAGGAAGATGACGAGGAACTGGGTGATATCTTTCGAGTTCGGCTAGCACAACTCAATCTACAGGCAGCCGAGAGGGCAAGGAAGATGTCAGCCTTTCACAGCGCCGCTCGGTATGCTGCGAAAGGTATTGCGTGGCTGGACGAAAAACACAAATGGTCCGGTACTACGTTTGACCTGACGTTGAATTTGTACAACTTGGCAGCGGAGGCCAATTCCAATGTTGGAAAGATGGAGGTTGCTGAGGAATATTGCCATTATGTTCTCGACTGCGAAATGTGCTCTATCCCGGATAAAATGCATGCCTACAGAATCGTGACAAATTACAAAGCAATGATTGGCAATAACAAGGAAGCCCTTGCCATTTGCCTTGACGTTCTGCAGCAACTTGGTGTCAAATTCCCTACGATTCTCCCACTAAAGGCTGCCGCTGCTCTGCGAGCGATTCTTCGAGTCAAAAAGATGAAGCCCTTGTCTCTTCAACAACTTGAAGGGCTGCCCCGCATGAAGGACAAAAGGCTTTTGGCAGTGATGAATCTCCTGGATATTGCAACCATCCTCAGCTACGCAGCAAGAGATGAGCCGCTGTCGATGCTGCTTCTTGAGCGAATGCGAAAGTTAACCTTGCAACATGGTCTCTGCAAAGAATCGGTTCAAGGTATCCTTTTTCCTGGTTTCGTTAACTGCTTTCTGTTTGAAGATTGGAAGAACGGAGTAGCTCATGCAGATGCGTCCTTGATTGCCCTTGAATGCCTTGGAGACGACGGGTTGGCAGTTTATGCAAAGGCTACGTGGCAAGTAGAAGGAATGTGCCATAGCTGGGTGCAACCGTTAGCTGGCATGTCCTCCAGGTTCGAGTTGGGGTTCATACGGGGACTGCAGGTATGGGACAAGGGTTCTAGAAGTTTGCTCGTGATTGCAATGACTACTAACCGCTCGTTTTGCAGACTGGGGACATCGATAGCGCAGCCATGTGCGCGTGGAAAGGACTGATTACAGACTTCCTCTCCGGAAGAACAACCCTAGATCGGCTGATTGAATCATGCCAAAACTACATCCCGCAGGTTGCATCATTGCAACGAATGGTTTACTTGGTGCAATTCCAAATCTTTCTACAGCACGTGACCAACCTCTCCGATGAAAAGGCCACAAACACGACATCACTAACAGGGGGCGTCATGGACGAGCAGGAAACGAGAGATTCTGTCTCCAACGTCGAGGTCGGCAAGATGCTCCTTTTGGTTCTTGACGTTCACAAACAAATTGCATGCACATTCTTCGGGGATCACGAGGCTGGTGCAGAACTAGCCATGACCCGCGGCGACTCCATCATTCATCGTCTGCCAGGTTATTCTTTGGGCGCTGTGTGTCCTGTCATGCGGGCAGTGTCGCTTTACGCAATGGTGCGGAGAGCAAGCGGCCTCCGAAAGATCCGCTACAAGCGTGAAGCTGTACGACTTCGAAAAATGGTTCGTCGTTGGGCAGAAAAGGGCTTCGTCAACGTGGCTCATTTCTCGAAGCTCCTTGACGCAGAACACTTCGCGCTCACCAAACGAACGGCCGAGACAGATACACTGTTCCAAAAGGCCCGAGCGTTAGCAGCACGGAGTGGTTTCAGGCAGGACGCCGCATTGATATGTGAACGACATGCCGAATTCCTCCTTCACGTTTCTGGCAAGAGGCCTCAGAAGGCTGCAGTGGAGACGTCAGAAGCCTCTCGTCAGATAGAAGAAGCGATCCGCTACTATACAGAATGGGGCGCCATGAACAAAGTAAAGCTGCTACGCTCGAAGTACGCTTTCTTGCTTTCTGGTTGAGATTTCGGGGGTGCGGTACGAGGATGATCAAGAGTTGAACCGGCTGTCAGAATATCAACACGAGGCAACCCATCAACTTGTAGAGTGGGTACGATGTAGCTACACGCGTCTGACAAATGCCATTATTGACGTTGGACGCAATAGTGGCTTAAAACGCCTTTGGTTTCTACAATAGTTGCCGTTGCTGCAGAAGTCGCTGGGCCAAATGCACAAACGAACAACCTTTATTGCAGTTGCTGGATTGGGCGTCGCAGGAGTCGGGCTCTTCTGGTTTACGGCAAGTTCACGGCGGCTCCCAGCACTGCATCATTCTTGAAGGCGGAGTGCGTTTTGGAAGCAGCAAGGGGCGTGTCTCTTTCCAGTGATGAGAGAATGGAAGGAATCCGGTCTAGTGCACCTTTGTACCTGTGTGATTCACACTTGGCTTTCATAAAGGATAATAGCAATACTCGATTGTTCAACACAGTATTCTTGTCCTCCGGGGCTTGGATGTCAGTTGGTAGAAATTTTTCCACAACCATTGACAGAGCAGCTTTGCAATTGCTATCTTCATAGAAAAGGGAACACATCTTCTTCAACTGCTTTTCATGGAAGAGTGAAGGCATATCTTTTGCCACCTGTCTCAAGTAGGCAACGCAACATTTTTCAGCTTTCTTTTCAGTGCATTGGGCACTCATTGGTAAGATTCTGAGGACACAATCAATCTTTGTTTCAGCTGAATTGAATGGACTTTTGAAAAACACCATACCTGAAAAGAAGCCAAGAGCCAAGGTGCTCTTTTCCAGAATTGCAAACAAGACATTGGCACATTCATCAACACCTTGGGAGATGCAGAGTTTTTGGAACCATGAAAACAGTTTTTCAACATTGTCTTCATTAACTCGTTCATCAGAAAATGGATGCAAAACAGCCCATACAAGCTCCCATTCTCTTGGATCATCGTCAGGAAACTTGAACAGCATGGTCCTGGCTTCTTTCATTCCACTTCGAAAGGCTGCATCAAAGAAGCCACTCCAACATCGCAGGTGGTGACTGTACTCCTGAAATTGTTGCCCTCCCACAATGACTGTGACATCAGGAGCTCCACACTCGAATCTTGGTTTGGGCATAACTTCATCTTCAGTCTTACTCTTACACATGCGCCCATTGGAAGAACGCTCAGTAGCCATGGCGAATGTCGTTTCTGCGTCAGCCAGCCACAACCTTGAATGGAACGAGTTGTGTTCTGTTGCGTGCGAATGGTCAGTTCGAGGTTTCTCATCGTGAGCGTGGACGCGCCGCGATCGTGGCCAGGCGAAGCGTGGAACTCAGCTTCGCAGATTAGATGAGATAGTCTACTAGTAGTAGATTAGATTGATCATTCAATCGAATCGAATCATTCATTCGCAGCGATATAAAATCATCAGTTTACTAGCTAGCTACGGTAGCTTGCTGCCGGTAGGTCGGTCGACCACGTGTTGGGTGTGATGGCTACTAGCTGTGGAAGGCAACTCACTCTTGACCGGGGTTGAACGGATCCAACGCTTCGTTCGGTGACATCCGATTTCGACCAATCTTGACAGGATGTCCTATGTCATAATCTCAAATACCAAGCTCGGATGAGACATGTACATGCAACGTGTCGCTGCAAAAAGAGTGCGCACAAAGCAAACAAAAGGACATCAAGCAAGAGTTCACCAGGAGCGTTCCTCAATCGTGCATGTCTTAACGAAAACCGACCCTATTATTTGGGACGGATTTAGGGACGGGTTCCCTTTAGGGTCGGGTTTGAAACCCGACCCTAAAAATAGGGACGGTTTCTGAAAAATAGGGACGGTTTCTGAAAAAACGTCCCTAATTTAGGGACGGCTTTCGATTTAGTGTCGGGTTTCGAAACCGACCCTAAATCAGTCGGATTTAGGGTCGAGTTTCCCCAAACCGACCCTAAAATTAGGGTCGGATTTAAAGGACATGCACGATTGAGGAACGCTCCTGAAGTCAAGATTAAGTTCAAAAATCTAATTATAGAACTTGTAATTCCTAAGTTAATGTGCCAAGGTCCCATCGTGTCCAGCTTGGACCGAAGTTTATAGTGTTGTCTTGGGATGTTCATGCAAGTTGAATTCCACGAATTAGTGTCATGCATGCACTAAACTCTCGACCTGTGAACATGATGAACACAGTGCGATGAAACGGCAACATGACAAATTGCTAGCTAGAGAATAACTACTTCAGCTTTCTTCACATTCTGGGCCTTCTAGACTACCGGCAGTGAATCGTTCTAGCAGAGGGTGTGTGGGAGTTTTAGTACGTTTAGCCCAGCACAACAGGCACCCTTCAATGTTCCTATCCTCCCGTCCTTACTTCGTGATCAAAACAGATCCTAACAAAGCATCATTCTTGAAAGCAGAGTGTGCGTCGGGTCTGTCATTTCCAAGGGTTGAGAGAATGGAAGGAATTCTGTCTAGTGCACTCTTGTACCTGTTCATTTTCATGAAGGATAGTAGCAAGACTGGGTTGTTCAACACCACTGTCCTTGTGTCCTCAAAACCTTCAACATCAGTTGGTAGAAATTCTGCCACAACTTCTGATAGCGCAATTTTGCAGTTTTCATCTTCACAAAAGAGGGAGCATATCTGTTTCAACTGCTGCTCATGAAAGACCCAAGGTTTGGATTTGGCCACAAAATTCAAGTAGCGGCCACAAACTTGTTCAGCTCTTTTGTCAGTGCATTGGACACTCATTGGCAAGAGTTTGAGGACACAATCTATGTTTGCTTCAACAGATTCATCGGATGCATGGTCAACAGATGAGGTTGCCCATGTACGGATCCACATAGCCGAGATCCTCTTTTTCAGCATATGGAACAAGACATTGGCACATGCATCAACACCTTGGGAGATGCATAGCTTTTGGAACCATGGAAAGAGTGTAACCACATTGTCTTCATTCACCTTTTCATCAGAGAAAGGATCCAACACAGCCCATAAAAGCTCCCATTCTTTTGGATCGTCATCAGGGAACTCAAAGGTCATGGTCTTGGCCTCTTTCATGCCACTTTGAAAGGCCATGTCAAAGTATCTGCTCCAACATCGAAGGTGGTGACTGTATGCTTGACATTGTTTCCCTCCCACAATGACTGTGACATCTGGAGTGCCACACTCGAACTTTGCTTTAGTGCTACTAGTGTCATTGTTGGAGCCATCATTTCGGTACTTCGGTTTGGTGATGACGTTGTTGTCTTTCTTGGTTTTCATGACTGTGTTGGCGGTTGCAGTGGGGCCTTGGAAATTCATGGCTGTTTACTTTTTCTCTCTGTATCTGAATTATGAAAGCATTGTCTTGGTCATCGTCCCATGTAGTGGCTGGCTAGCTACCGTAGCACTAGCTAGGTTTGGGACAGAAGAAACGACGGGGGTTGGTTTCGTTGAGGCCACGGAAACGAATTGGGGTCGTTTTCGGTTCGGTTTGGAAAGATACTATCCACGACTGAAGGTCTTCGTCTGTTTTGGCGCGAAAATTGTGAGAAAGCGCAATCATTTTTGAACACTGATTTATTAGAGCACAGCAAACCACGAAGCATCTGGGAATTCCATGAAGCATATGGAGACAGCTGGCCTTTGAACCAAACCTGCATCCTCTCAGAGAGTCTCGGATAATGAGCCTTCGAGTTTCGAGCTCACAATAGCAAAGCACTCAAAACTAAAAGACTACAAGCCCAGCAAAGCTACAGGTTTGTGACACTCAAGATGGACTCCAATGCGACGAAGAAGAGGCCCGCCGACGATGACGACGAGTCGAATAACAACAACAATATCTTCAAACGCCAACATGTTGTTATTGATGATAACAAAGACGACAGCCAGGAACAGCAACGAGAACGGTCTTGGGATCCTATCATGGGTGAATGGGTGGAAGAGGAGTCGGAAGAGGAAGAAGAGCCTGTTTACGAGTACAAATTTCAAAACAGCGAGGCTTTTTTGGCAGCTCTAGAAGTGTACAATCGCCGTGGATGCACCATCCAGGAAGAATTGAAATACGGCAAAATCCCAGTGACCGCGGTGTATCCTTCCTATCATTGGATTTGTCGCCAGGTGGCAGGACGACACCGCCATTGTTGTGACGAGTGTCGAGAGGACTTTACTACCGACGCCAAGTATTACTTGATCGACGAGTCGTCTGGCGGAAAGTACCGCGGCGCCAAAGGCAAGCTCTGCCTGCCTTGTATGGACCAGCTGCTATATGACGAGTGCGACGAAACCACAGATTTAAAGACCATCAAAGAGATGTTGGGCGATTTGCGAAAAGAGCACAATGGAGTTGTCCATGACATGTTCATTACTCCCTATGAGAAAAAGTATCCCGTTTATGCCACCTTTTTGTCGCATTGCAAGAACAACGACGAGAACAAGGCAGGGGAGCTGGCTCGTCAGATGATGACTATCCCTGGTTTCTTTGGGCGCTCGTTTTAGTTAGAAAATGAGTGCAAGAAGTCCAGGATCAATGAAGAAAGTATTGCGTCGACTTGGTGTTTTTTTTTTTAGTGTCGGGGCAACTTGTTGTGGATACAAACAGTTTCTGAACCAGCAGTTAGCCGGAATGGAAAGCCGAGCGTGAGTGTCAACTCAGGTACCCACATTCATCATTCCGTTTGCAGGGTGTTTCTTCTTTTCGAAGTCTCTTGTACCCTGTCCGTGGTTTGTTTTCTAGCGGGCTTTTGTTCAGCAAGCTTTGTACCGCAGCTGAGCTTTGGATGCCTCCCTTTCTCTAGAAAGTATGATTATAGTTTCCAAGTAAATACAGTACGTAATTAAACAGTTCCAGTTGCTAGCCAGTAGTAGTGCAGACAATACCCGCGCTGCGCCCCCAGAAGTGTTTCTTGCCTCGCCGTTATCATGCGGTAGTTGATAAGGAGCACTGCATGAATTGAATACACCTCCGCCATTCTATAAGTTTGGATATTATTTGTTCGACAGTTTTCCCGTTCATCACGAGAACTGGAAGGGATATGTAACCAGACTTTCTCTATTGGCTGCTCTTCTAAAGGATGGAGTTTATCGTATCCATTCATTGAATGGACTTCACATACACGGCGGACTGGACTCTGGTTTGACGCCACTCTGCTCCCGAATGATGCGTGATCTCTGGCCGCTCGGAACCTTGTTTCAAGGATGCTTGGTTGCAACCAAATCTGTAGTTTCCCCCAGCGCCACAAGTGCGTCTAGCTAGAGTCCAAATGCACGGATACTCAAACCTTATGATCATATTATCCATTTGTGCCACTGCGCTCTTTCTGTACATGTACCATAACAACCACCTGACTCGACTCGACTCAAGATGGTTCTAAAAAGGAAGGGGGTTCTGGAAGATACAACCGAGAAATACTATCCATGACTGATTGAATGGGCGAGTGTGCGTTGTTTGTCTAATCAATCAGCCGTCGCCACCACCCAAACTTTCGAAGAGGTGCTTTTCCTCTCCACGTCCACAATTAACCCACAACCCACAACGACCAATTTTAACAGAGACGGATCGCAAGACAAAGACAAGGCCGACCACAAACAACTACTGCTGTAACTACTTCACCAAATAGCTAGCTCTTAGTTGACTGTGAAATAATATCCGTCGGGAAAGAGGCGCTCATTCCAGGCTGGAAGAGGTATACCGGTAGCAGCTGTTTTCTCGAATTTTTCTTTCACAGCACAGTACCGGTACCGGTATTCCCAAGATGATTCGAGTGAGACTCAGTCTACATGTGCTTTTCTTGTTGGGGCTGATCCTGCAGTATTGCCATGCTTGGATCAATCACAGGGTAGCACTACTGCGACCAAGAAAAGAAACACCATCGTCCCTCTACGATGCTTACCGAGAAGATGACCATGGCATCAATGCCCAAAAGAAGCTATTGGAAGAAAATCTCCAAGAATTGTTACAAGCCCAACGAAAACCACCGGGTGAGGATACCACCAATAATTTCCTCCCACGTACTAGTGGCCGCATGGACCTACCAGATTTGAATCCCTTCAAGGAACAACTCGACAAGAATGCCGCTGGAAAACCACTTTCGCAAGCGCTCTCAATGCCGGATTATTTCAAAGACAAGAAGGATAACACCAAGATACCCACGACAGCAAGAATGACAACGCCAATTGCACCCAAACTTTTTTCCTCCTCCTCCGAGCAAGGAGAAGAAAATGACGACGACACCAACAACAACGAGGGTTTTTATCTCGATCCGGATATCTACGAACGATCCCGAGATTTGATCCGTGGAGATGGATCCCTCGCATTGGACGACGACACCAATAGCAATTCACAGCTACAACAAAACAATAATAAGGATTGGAATAGTGTCGATGGACGCAAAGCCATTTTGGAACGTCTGCTGCAGGCAGAACTCGAATCTGGCAAGGTACCACAGTCAAACAATGACAACGAAAATGACAAGGACGATTGGAATACCCTCTTTTCTCTCATTCAAAGTCAACAACAACAACAATCCTCGTATTATAATAAAACTCAAGCCGAACAAGTCCATCGACAAATCTTGGAACACGAAACGGGATTTCTCAATCAAAGTAAATCCTTTCAACAAGCACTGATTGACCCCAAAGCGGCCCAAGCCGCCACGGTGGAACGACGGAATACGCATTATCAACAACGACAAGAACGCGCTTCCAAACAATTGTTACAAAATATGGCCGAATTCGAAAGACAGCTAATGCAAAAGGAACGCGCCACGACGTATTGTTCGCGGTGTCAGTGTCAATTGGCCGACGAAGATTATGATATAGCACCGCAGTTGTGGATGCGACAACGCAATCTCACGGCACTCTGTCAAACGTGTTATAAAGGATTGCAAACGCTCATGGTGAAACGATTGCAACAAAAACCACAACCAAACAGGAGGAGCGGTCCATCTGCTTCTACCACCGCAGCAAGAAGTGTGGCAAACAGCAACAACCGCCCAACCCAACAATCTGCCGCTGCTGCAAAGCAAAGGAGAAGAGGTCCAATAATAAAAGCACCGTCCAAATCAGCAGAAGAGGCAACAACAACGTCCTCCGCTTGGACTCCAATGGAGGATCCAGACTCGGGGGAACTCTTTTATTCGAACCAAGACACGGGAGAGGTACGCTGGGAGGATCCCACGGTTGCAACGTAACGCAGAAGCTACCGTAGCAAGGATGCCTCCTCACGGTACATGTACTGGGCTTGCTAGCTAGCAGGAGGGAGCACAATCAAAGCGGTGAACCACACAAGTACCAAGCACAATTCTAGCCAGCGGCACCCGTGATCAGCACCAAAAAAGATGGACGACAACCTCCTCCAAGAAAGCACAGAATCCCTGTAGCTACCAATCAACATTGCTGGAAGAGTTGGCCCAAACAACGGGGTCTTGGGTTCACTTACTTGTCGTTTGACGACCGAATCCGTTGGGCCTTTGGGGCTTTTTCGAGAACAAAGAAAGAAGCCCACTCAAAATTCCAGTACGATATCTAATGGGGGTGGTGGTCGGGCAGAACCTGCTGCCTAATGATTAGATTCTACTCAAGCTCGTTCGATGCGTTCCTTCTTTCGCTAAAGCCCTGCAGTGTTCTTGGAATGATCAGCGCCTGCGCAGTATAAATCATTTGAAAACAACCCTGCAATCTCATGCATGTATCTTGTAGCTCCAATTGCAAATTGAAAACTAAACGAAGAGTGTTTTTGAGTGATGCTGCGTATACCGGTACCCTATTAGACCGAGAGACTTAGATAGCATTGAGGCCTTCACCGCCAAGCATCCCGCCTTCACAAAGCATAAACAGGCTGCCTTCTTTCACCCGGGATGAGGAGGGCAAAGCTTGGCTAGTCTAGACGTAGTCAATGCTAGCACATACCGGTAGCCACATTAGCAAGCCAGGCGGATTGAATGATCGAATCATGATCATACAGTACAAGCAAGACTGATGCATCGATGATGGTGACTCAATGATTCGTCCCCGACTGACAAGCACATGGTTGCAAAGGAGAAGTTATTAACTCTTTGGTAAATCGGATAGACGAGCAAGACGATTTTTTTTCAATTTTTTCTTCTCGTTTGCCACAACAACACAACAGCAAAGAGGACCGAAAGGGACCAGCAGTGGTCACATAAAGAGTGGGCATTGACACCGCATTGTCCTACAAATCGCCCTATCATGTTTAATTCCAACCACCTTTTGGCCTCGCTGCATTTACTGGTCGTCCGAGTGGCCGTCCTCCTGTTACTGGCCACGGCAGTGGCTGCCAAAGGTGGCGGACGTGGAGGCAGCAGCAGCAGTTCTGGTAGTCGCGGTTCTGGCAGCAGCAGTGGCAGCTCGTACAATAGTGGTGGTCATTATTATGGTAGCAGCGGTGGAGGAAACAGGGCATGCGACAAGACTTGCGGAATTGTTCTTGCAGTCGTCTTTTCGTCGATTGCCGCCATCACAGTGTGTCTGTGTTTTGTTCCATGTTTCTTGAAACGGAAACAGTGGGAGAGATCCTGTGACGACGCAGAACGATCTGTTCTGGAAGATGCCACCAAAACCCAGTATGGCAGCAGCAAACCTGTGGTCCATTACAGCACTTGTTCTTTTTCCGCCTCATATACTGACTCCACCTATGAAAATGGGAGCAAAACCCTACACTCCACTGGAACCCTCAACTTTGCAACATGGGCTTCTTCGCCAACTATTCAAGTAAAATCAATCAATGGCAATGGCCGTGATACCGATGGTACCTACACCATTACCCGAGGAGCTGTTTCTATTTGGTCAGGGAAGGCTTGTTGGATTGAACAAACCTCAGGTAGCAGCACACAGTCTTTGGTGACGGGAAAGTTTTTTACCACCCCTGGGAACCCCAGACCCATGTTTGCTGGATCATTCAAATGCAACAATGGAGCCAAGGGGTCCTTTTCCCAATTTAATCTCGACGTCAACAACAACGCTCCTTCGATGGGCTCTGCCCAACCTCCAAGAGCCCACATGGACGTCAATTTAGTCAGCACGGCAGCTGCATCCGTTATTCCCACCCACCAACCACCGGACGTTGAAGGGGGGGTTGAGGCAGTATATGGCGGAATGCCTGTTGCCATGGCCCAGCCAATCGGGAATTCTACAACAACCAACACAGCCACAACGATTTCCACAAACTTCCATATACCATCCATCTTTGCTCCTGCTACGTCATCCTATCAACCCGCGTACAACCCACCAGCTGCAGCACCCTCCTACCAACCATCGCAGCGGCCTATCAACCGAGTTACACTCCCTCTGCCCCATCTCCCTCCGACAATATTCCCTCCATCTTTAGGCCTCCAACGTAGTGCTGTACCGTACTGCAGGAAGTGCGCAACTAAGTCTGTTTTAATCAGAACAATAAGTCATAAATATTGGGATACTCATGGTTTATTCCTTGTAAGGATTGGCTCCTGGCTAGATGACGGCACAGAACAGCACAATCACTAGAGCCAAATACGGCCAGCTTATCTGCCCTACCGGTGGGAGGTGCGCACTTTGTCTACATACATGGTACCGGTACTAGTTGGATTCCATGAGGTTTAGAGCATGTGTGCTTTCTAACAAATATTCACGAGCCCTTCTCAGTCTCTTTTCTTCGGCGGAAAGAACATTTCACGGCATTCTTTCCAAGAAAAGTCTGCGGACGTCCAATATCCATGTTTCGAGTGTTCTGCGTTGATCAAGGCAGACATCAAAACCAACCCGGCAACATACCATCACAAACTTTGAAAGACAAGCAAAAAAGACAACAACCGAAAAGTAGAAAACAGACTTGACTCAACTCCCGGCATGCATGACTGAACCACCCAAAAGCGGCCCAATCACACTTACTTCTGATCCGATCCAGCCATTGGTCTCAACGCAACCCACAAAATCAAAAATCAGAGATTGAAACAACAACAAACATCATGTTCATACTGCAACAATTTCTTCGTCAAGATGAAAAAAGAGTAATGATCAACTGCTGTCTAGCATTGATCGCACTGCGTAACTCCATGGTTTCAGCCAAGGGCGGAGGCTACAGTGGCGGGGGTGGGTCCACAAGCAGTGGAGGTTACTACGGTGGAGGGTATGGGAGCTATGGATCCAGTAGTGATGGCGACTCTACAAGTGGCCTTGTCATTGGGATTTCTGTAGCAGTTGCTGTAGGGGCGTTCTTTGTTTGCAGTACGTTGTCGTCAACGGCACAAAACCAAAAGGCTTGGAACGCAGCCTTCCTCGAAGCCCAGAAAGATGTCATGGAACCAGTTACAGACGTCACAAGGAGCAGTACCAATTATCATTTGAAGTCTTTCACTGAGGGAACTTTCGTGGCTTCGTATAATGATAGCTCGTATCAAAACGGAAACACGGAAGTGAGTTCAAACGGTACGCTCAAGTTCAAACGCGGCGACTCTGCTTCGCCACCTGCGGGTGGAACATCAATCAGCGCAAAGACCCGATCCATTGTCGGCAATGGAACTGACAGAGACGGAGACTTCGTTATCTCAAATGGCAAGGTATCATTGGACACAGGGAAGGCATATTGGGTAGAAAAGGCTAAAGGAAGCAACATCAAGAGCTTGGTGACAGGGAAGTTTTCCTGGAGTCAAAGTTCCAAGTGTATTATTTTCGCTGGATCTTTCCGGTGTACCAATGGAGCCAAAGGCAAATTCTCTGAGTTCAAAGTCTTGACACAGGATGAAGAACTAACTTCGGTTGCAGGTGCTTTCGTGGCTGAAGTTGAACCTCGCGTGGAATCAGCCTCGGTGCCTCCAATGGCTACGGCCGTTCCATTGGAGAGTTTCGGTGCTGCAGCAGTGACTACCGATATTCCCTCCATATTTGTTCAGCCCTCCTCAAAACCTTCAGCCTCTCACCCCGAACTATCAGCAACGGTGGAACCAATTGCACATTCCAGACCGTCAGCACCGGTCGACGAAACCAGGTCATCCATTCCTGATGATTTCATTTGTGATGTTTCGGTATAGCGGGGCTATCTCTCTC